TTTAGAACATAAAGGATTTGTTGAAGAAAAGGACTTTGAGTGATAAAGGCAATATTCTTAGCAGGCTGGGGTGCTCTAGCATGACTTACAAGGAGATGCCAATGTCCTCTGGGTAGAACTATATTCATTTCCCACATGGGATTACAGATTGGACCCATGTGCAGTTTTATTGGAACATTATAATAAAAGTACTTCATAGTAGGTTTTGATTTAAAGGAGTACAGAAAATTCCCCAGGTGTAAATATTCTCAATATTCTTGGGAAAAGTGTCACATTATTTCAAAGTAGCTTTCTAGGTGGATTTAGATAAGTAACAAGTTGCCTCATGTCTATTTGTATCTTTTACCAAGATGCTATCACATTTCCCATCCTCAGCATGTTTTTCCAAAAAGGCAGAAAGTGATTTTCCTTGGGTCCATTTACTGGCATTTCAAAGTCAGTATCTGTAATTTGTAAGCATAGCTGAAATTATCTTTCTGGGAAGGCAGAAAAAGCTGGAATTTTGAAATCTTGGAAAGAAGTGGTTTAGAAAACAGGCACTGGTAGAATTAAATATGCTAGATGAAATCCGAATATATATAAGACTATAATTTCAGTATGATGGAATTTTCCTTATTTTTGACTTTTAAAAAATGTGTAATTTAACATATTAGCACATTACATAACCAGGAATGCCTAGACATTTTACTTTCTAGCACTGAAATAAAGTGATGTAAATATCTCAGACAAGTTTCCAAGCTACTATGACTTAGGAATGTTAGAGGAAATAAAGGGGTTTCTAAAGGGTATGTGGGGGAAAACACAGATGTTCTACCATATTTATTAGGAAAATGTTCATTTCTACAGATATGTATTGAGTGTCTGCTATGTTTCAGGTAATGTTTTTTAGGTTTTGGAACTGTAAAAATAGAAAAGACTTTATCTTTGAGGAGGAGATATAGATGTAGTAATACTTATGGATGTAAAGAGAACTTTAAATGATTGTGGCAATTATAGTCATAAATGGCGTTAAGTGATTATTCAGTTATAAGTGATTTAAAATGTGTTTATTATTTACAGTGAATTTAAAGCAGTGATTTCAAAGTTATTATCTTTAAGTAATTTTTAGATATTTAAAATTAGGAAATGGAAGTGAAACCCCCTTCACCAAAACTGGGCTTATCATAGCACCTAGAATTCAGTAATTCATATTTATTTCTAGATTGGTTCTTCACAGAAATACGCTTTTCTATGTGAAAAATTGCAAGGTTTTAGATGCAGATAAATGTATATCTGTATGTTCTGAAGGGTGATGAGTGCTTTTTGATGTCAAGCATAGTGAGTGCGACCATAGCCTGCCTGTCTACCTGCTCCTACTGCATATCCGCTTATTGGCACAGCTTTCGCCTCACTGTTCTCTCTGTCACTTGAACCTGCCAAGTTTTTCCCCATCACTGGGCCTTTCAGTCCCTGCTCCTTCTGTTTGGAATGTTCTCCCAGAGTTTTCCATGGCTACTTCCTCATTATTCTAGTCTCAGCCTCCTCACAGCACCCTCTATCATTGTTTCCTTGCTTAATTTTTGTCTTTAAAAATCTTTTTAATTACATTTATTGGGGTGACCATCTATATATATAAAAGCCTAAGCAACCAGCTACCGGCCAACTGGCTGGTAGCAATGATGTGCACTGATCACCAGGTGGCAGACGCTCAATGCAGGAGCAGAAACCACAGGCATGGAAACATGGAACAGACTGATGAATCTCAGAAGGAAAGGGGGAGGGAGTAGGGTGGAAAGAGATTAACCAAAGATCTTATATGCATACTAGAGACCCAGTGCATGGATTGGTGCACTGGTGGGGGTCCCTCAGCCTGGCCTGTGCCCTCTTGCAATCTGGGACCCCTCAGGGATGTCGGAGAGCCGGTTTTGGCCCGATCTCCACAGGCCAGGCCAAGGGACCCCACTGGTGCACGAATCTGTGCACTGGGCTTCTAGTGGTTAATAAGATTATATAGGTTTCAAGTGTACAATTCTATGAAATATCATACGTATACTGCACTTTGGGCCCATCACCCAAAGTTAAATCTTCTTTGTCTCCACATAATTATTTTCTCCATTGCACCTGTTATCACCTGGCATGCTATATTTTTAATTATTTATGTTTTCCTATATAAGTTTAAATTCTTGAAGGCAGAGATTTTTATCATGGTCACCTCTGCATATATAGCCTCTAGAACTGTACCAAGCACATAGTATAGTTGTTCTTTAAATATTTGTCAACTATTTTGCAGGGTTTATAAAAATTGGAATATGATAACTAGCCCAGTGTAATGGATTAAGGCATGAATTGTGGAACCAGGCTATGTGGGTTCATACCTTGGTTCTGTCACTTACTGGAAAAAAGATGTAAGCAAGTTATGTAACCTCTGCTCTTAATTTATTTCACCTTTAAAGTGGGGATAATAATAGATTTTACCCCAAAGAGTTATTATTAGCTGAAAATATATGCAAAATGTGTATAAATGATGTCTTCTGGACATATTGGAGTTAACTATTATTATTATAAATGCCTTGATGATTTTTTCTATTCATATAAACAATTAGAATGAATTATATTGATAGATGTCCAATATTGAATCATACTTACATTCTTATGATAAATTCCATCTCATGATGTATTATTTATTCCATGTGTTGCTGAATTTTGTTTGCTAATACAATTTAGGACTTTTAATATTCAAATACGAGCTTATCCTTTATGTTTTTTGTTTAATTTTGCTGCCGTCTTTATCATGTTTTGCTGTAAGTTTACACTAGCTTCATAAAATTAACTTGAATGTTTTATTTTTAAAACTAGAGGCCCAGTGCATGAAATTCGTGCACGGGGCCGGGGGGGGGGGGTCCTTCAGCCCAGCCTGCACCCTCTCCAATCTGGGACCTCTTGGGGGATATCTGAATACCGGCAGTTGGACATCCCTCTCGCCATCTGGGACCGCTGGCTCCTAACTGCTTACTTGCCTGCCTGCCTGATTGCCCCTAAATGCCCTCCCCTGCCAGCCTGATCTCCCCTAACCACCTCTACCTCGGCCCCTGCCACCATGGCTTTGTCTGGGAGGAAGGCAGGACGACCGGAAGATGTCCGGTCGACCCGGTCTAATTAGCATATTACCCTTTTATTATTATAGATATTTTGGAACAGTTGAAATAACAGTGGAATTATCTGCTCTTTCAAGGTTTGGTGGAATTTCTCTGTGAAACCATTAAGACCTGGAGGTTTCATGGTGTTACTCTGATAACCTTTTCTATTGTTTGGTAGAAAAGGGGTCTGTTGAGATTTTTAACATTTCTGGAGTTATTTTGGTAAATTATGTTTTCCCAGGAAATTGTCTTTATCATAAACTCTTTCTCTCCCTGGTTTTCTGCTTTCCTTGGGCATTGGCATCTTGTAACTTTTTTGTTCCAACTGTCCTCCCATCACTGTCACTGTCATTCAAGGTTTGTTACCTCTCTTCTGGGCTATAGCCTCTGTCTTATAATTGCTAGTATTTTTTTTTCTACCATATATAGCACTCCATGTTACTCGATTACATTGCATACCTTACAGTCTTACTTATTCATTTAATATGTTATCCAATATCTGGTACATGGCCAGCATGAGAGGCATGTAGAAAAGAGTGCAGGCAAAGCTCTGTTCTCATGGAGTTTATATTTTAGTGGGTAGTACCAGACAAGGAACAAATGAACATAAATAAAAATATACCCATTAGTGATAAGTGCTATGAAGAAAAATGAAACTGGATAAAAGAGCTAAAGTAGGAGTTTAGGTGTCATTTTATATAGGGTGATGAATGTTGAGTGGAGACATGTAGTGAGAGCCATCAGGGAAACATTGAGAGGCAGAAGGTTTACTAAGTACAGAGGTGTTGAGGGGAGAATATACTTGTCATATTTGAGGAATAGCAAAGACACTAGGATGAGCCAAGGTGCAAGCAGGAGAAGTCAAAACTATTAGTCATCTGTGTACTTGAGGGACGGGTGGTGAAAAGGGGTGGACAGATCACACAGGACATTGTAGATCATTGAAAGAACTTTGGATTTTACTGAGTGACATGAAAAGTCACTAGAGTGTTTTTTGTTTTCTCTTTTTAGAGTGACATGATATAGACTTAAGAGAAATTACTGTGACTCTTCTGTGGAGACTAGACTATAAAGGGCTTTTGGTTTAGTTCAAGAAAGAGATCATGGATGTAGTGGTAAAATTTGGGAGGAGTGGCTGGATTTCAGTTATACTTTAAAGGTTCAGCATTCAGGATCTTGAAGGTGGAGTGAAGGTGGGATATGAAAGAAAGAGTCATCCTTGATATTTCTCTAAGGATTTTTGTCCTGGGCAATCTGAATAATAATGTTACCATTTACTGAAAAAGAGAGAGTTTTAGAAACAGCAGGTTTGAACCAGAAATCAAGAATTTGGCTTTGGACATATAAAGATTGTGAATGCTACTAGTCTAAGTGGAGATATCAAAGAGTAAGTTGGATATTGAATTCTGAAATTCAGAAGACAGGTTTTTGTGAAAACTTCAATGGCTCCCCGTCGCTTACAAATTCAAATCTATTAGCATTACATTTAACATCTCTTTTTTCTGACTCCAACCTACCTTTACATCTTGTCTCATACTACTACTGTACGTAGACCAAGACATACAGGTTTCTTATTTCTAGAATGTGCTAGACATTTTTTTGCCATTTTGATGCTGCTGCCTGTGCCATTTTTTATGTCTGGAATACCTGTCATCTCAACTCAGCCCATTGGAATACTGTCCTGTGTTCATAACTTTATACATATGAGCTGAGAGAAAAAGGCGAGCCACAGAACGGAAACTTTATGTTCAGTTGATGACATTCAGTAAACAGACAGACTCCTGGCTGTCTTGCTTCTGTGTGTGTTAATTTTAACCTATGGCACAATGTATTGTTTTCTCTTAGTGATGAAAAAAATAATTTTTATATTTTTTAAATTTTCAGATGGGAACATTTAAAGCACATGATGGTGAATATTTCTTAGAACCTATAATGAAGGCAGATGGGAGTGAACATGAAGATGATCATAACAAGCCACATCTTATATACAGACAGGAGTTAAAGAGGAACTATTTTCTGCATCCTCATAAACCTTGTGATGTTTCAGGTAAACTATGAAGTAAAGATATTTGGGTTAAATTATGATACTATTTAAATATTTTTATAGTTTAGAGTTTTCATAGTTTCTTTAAATATTGAAGTATATGGCATTTTAAACACATTTTCTTGACCCATTAGAAATCATTTAATGTCTGTGTGCAACTTTGTTGTAGCAGAGTGAATTTAAATTCAAAAAAGTATTTAGTATATGAGGTATGTAGCAACTAACCATATAAAGTTTTTACTTTAATGTGTTAGGTGAGTATGATTTAATTTTTCTAGCAGAATTTTAGATAGTTAAAAGTGAACTATCTAAAATTCTATAAGTAATAATCACATGTTCAATTTTGCAGGCTTTAAAGTTTATGTAAAGGAAATGTATATAGTTTTCTGTGACTTATCCATTTGCTCTGTGTGGTGACTGAGTTTCATCTACATCATTCATTTTCATTGCTGTACAGTACTTGATTCTATCACGATTCATATGTTCATTTTCCCGTTGAACTTTTGGATTGTTTGCAGCTTTTCATTATTATAAACAGTGTTGCTATGATAGTCTTGTCCCCATCTCCTGAGTTTGAGAGTTTCGCAAAGTGGTTTTTATCAATGTATTTATACTTCAGCAATATACGTGAGAGCTAGGTTTTCATCATTTTTCCTCTAAAATTCGCACTATTGAAGACTTCTAGTAAATTAGAACCCAGGAATCATAGATATCCTTAAAGTGTGAATCTGTTGCTGGTAAATTACTTGTATGTTGCATAGGAGTCATTTTAAGAGTTGTGTCTACATATGAACATGAATCTTCACCATATCATTGTCTATCATTCTGTGAAGAATGGAGAAAGGCACCTGCGGTTATCATCAAAGTACAAAATCTAGACAAAAGAGTGGGATTAGAAAGGATTTTTTTGAGGTTGTAGGTGTCCATAAACTATAGTTCCAAGCACTGAGATGCCATCTGTTTGGGAATATAATGACATGTAGGCCTTTGAAGGTTTTCCTGGGAGTGCACTTCTTAACCTTTGCTATAATAAGAGGGCCGTTTTGGAGTGGTTCTCACTGTGTCTCAGGCCGTGTTTTAAATCTATGGACATAATAGATGCCTTTCTTATGCTTTTAATATGAGCATAAGGGTTTCATTTTCATGGTTTCAAAGAAAACACAAATGGGCACAGCCTCACAATAGAGTTCTACAGAAGGCAGCGTATGCTTCTTCTGATCTACCATTCAGGAGCAGCTTGTTTAACGAACTGTTTAGCTCCTTAAGAAGAAAACCACCAAGTAGACACTCTGAATGCATAAATGTTTCACCTAATGATATGCAGGGTTTTGCATTCACAATCAGTGTTCATTATCAGAAATGGTTCAAGAGAGGCCAGGCTCTTTGGTTTAACAAATTTTTATACTAAAGATTTATTATAAAAACTACAAATAAAAAGCAAATAGAAAGCTATCAGATTTAGTTTTCTTTCATTCACAATATATTTTTCCATGACATTTATCTACTAAAATGTTAAAGGTAGTAACCTTCTTTTAGATTCTTAACTTGCCTCCATTTTTGGGTACAATTAACATACATATTTTTAATCACTAAAAAAGGCAATCAATTAATGATCTAAGTAATTAGCTGCTAATCATCATTTTGTTCATAAAAATAGTTTTGAATATATGTAGTAAAATATTATTAAAGGCTTTTTCCCCCCTAGTTCACATGTCCATCAGAAATACTTGCAGAATATATATATATATTCCTTAGGCGAATTCTTCAAACAGGTAGGCTTAAAAATTAGCATATGAACCAAAAGGATTAAGTAGAAAAAGAAAAGTCATTTAAAAAAATATTTCTATTGATGATTTAAAATTTAAAAAATTTTTTATTTATTGACTGGAGAGAGAGAGAAACATCAATTGTTGTTCCACTTATTCATGCATTCATTTGGTTGCTTCTTGTATGTTCCCTGACTGGAGATCGAACCTGTAACCTTGGCATATCAGGAAAATGCTCTAATCAACTGAGCTACCTGGCCAGGGCTGATGGTTTTAATTTATTGTGACCCTAAAATTTTGTAACTTGTAGTGGCCTCAGCTTTGATGAATTAGTTCAAATTATTTTCAACATCAGATTTCACCATGTGCTGTGAGGCCATACTAGTTAATATTCGGTAGCCATATCTAGCCATTGAGGAGGATGCCAGGCTCCCAGGTAGACATCAGATGTGTTCTAAGTAATACCCAGTGGAAATGGTAACACACACACACAACCTAAAAAGTGAACAATAATCCCGCACACACTAACAAAATTAAAACCCAAGGGAAGGGGAGCCCTGAAAATACTGACCTTAACTTCTCTGTCTTTTTTTGTAAAAATACATTTTATTGATTTTTTACAGAGGGGAAGGGAGAGGGATAGAGAGCCAGAAACATTGATGAGAGAGAAACATCGATCAGCTGCCTCCTGCACGCCCCCCACTGGGGATGTGCCCGCAACCAAGGTACATGCCCTTGACCGGAATCGAACCTGGGACCCTTGAGTCCGCAGGCCGACGCTCTATCCACTGAGCCAAACCGGTTCTGGCAACTTCTCTGTTTTAATAAGCATAAGTAGTGGATGGTTAATGGATTTAATGTTTCCTATATAAATGTCAAGTTTACGGGTTTCTACCTTAAATACCTCACAGCTACAGGAACCAGGCAGTTATCAGAAATGAGTGAAGTGGGGTGTCATTAGGGCGTCCAGGTAGCCATAGGTCAATGGAATATGTATGCTTGCAAAAGTTGCATTGGGAATGTGGGATCACTTTTACCAGAACTTTGAATTTTATAGAGAAGTTAAAAATGTGTGGGAGGGGGAAAGTTTGAAACGTGAGAGCTGAATTTGTCTTGTTAACTGCCAATTTGCAATCTCTTATTTAATGATTTCCAAAGTCCCTGACACTTAAAAACATTTTTTTTTTAAATTTGTGGGCAGAGGAAGAGGTGCGATCACTTAATCTAGAGACAGAGGATTATAAATATGACCATGACCATGACCAATATTTTCAACTATTAACTTGTAACTGGTGATTTTAAGAGTCAGCTCAAGCTTCTAAATACAAATAGACATGACTCTAGAGATTTCCCCCTTCTGCCCACCCTTTGTTAAACTACTCTCTCAAAGATCACTTATGACCTACTTGCCAAAAGCAATCTCTCATATTGTTACTTCATTTTAGGGAAATTTTCCCTTTTTTTTTTTGGCTTCTCTGATACACTTTGCTTCCAACTTTGCTGCTTTTCTTTCTTACTATTTCTCCCATTTCTCTTCCCAGTTGTTGTTACTGCTTTCCCATCTTCTAAGCATTTTTAAAGTGTTCTTGGCCACTATTTTACACCATTTTTATATAGAGTCTACATGATTTATTTATTTTTATTTCCCTAATTTAACTACTAATTTCAATGCTACATATTTTAAAAATGATTTAACTTCAGCTTGTTTTAAGATTAAATCTCAGGTCTACAACTGTCTGATTCTCATGTTTCTTGGATGTCCCAGTGGCACCTAGAGTTAATACATCTAATCTGAAGCTATTGTCTCTCTTCACCTACCTCTTCGTCCATACCCCTAAAAAGAAGCCTTTCTTCTTTTTGTGTCCAAATATCTGTCTAAATTAAGCACTTGCTATAGTGGACACTTAAGTAGTGTTAATTTTTGAAAAAATCCTACTCTATTAACTAAAGAAGACTGATTTAGATTTGAATAACAAATTCGCCTCAACTACTCAGGTCTACCCTTTTGCTTTATTTGTTAACTAGAGGCCTGGTGCACGAATTCGTGCACCAGTGTTGTCCCTTGGCCTGGCCAGTGGGATCGGGCCGAAACTGGCTCTCCAACATCCCCCGAGGGGTCCCGGATTGTGAGAGGGTGCAGGCCAGATCAAGGGATCCCACTGTTGCATGATCAGGGCCAGGGAGGGATGCGGGAGGTTGGGCAGTCAGGGAGGGACTGTGGGAGGGCTCCAGGACATGTCAGGCCCATCTTGCTCAGTCCTGATAGGCTGGACCCCCGAAGCAAGCTAACCTATCAGTCGGAGCATCTGCCCCTTGGTGGTCAGTGCACATCATAGCAAGCGGTTGAGAGGCCTTAGAATATCATTAGCATATTGTGCTTTGATTGGTTGAACGACCAACGATTTGACTGGACACTTAGCACATTAGGCTTTTATATATAGGACTAGAGGCCTGGTACACAAAAATTTGTGCACTGGCGGGGGGGGGGGGGGGGTCCCTCCGCCCCCCTTGTGC